TGCTGCTCCTGCCACCATCGAGGCTCTGACTAGACTGGGTGACTGGGGCATACCAATGCATTGTTTTTGACCACTCTCTGGAAGGTAAAGTAAGACGCTTGGATGGACCGCATATACAAGCCACTGGCTATTTATATATGATTGGTGTTTCGATTGGGCTTTAATGATAAGCTATGGAAGCTCCTACGCGCCTGTATTATCTTCAATTTCCTCGTTGCTTGTTTGTAATCCACAAACAAAGTCTACCCAGTGGAAAGCTGGTTAAAATGGCGGTGCAACGTAAAGACTTTGACGGTAGGCAGATTGTTACAATAAACAAAAGGCAATAGAAAATCGACTAAAGAAACTGCAATACTGATGTACTAGTAGCTATTTGTAAAGTTTTTAAACTGGGGAATCCATGGTCTAGTGGTTCAGGACGTTTCGTTTACACCGAAAAGGTCGCGAGTTCAATCCTCGCTGGATTCATTTTTATTCTCTTTTTTTTTGTCATGGTGGTGGTCCACGAAATCGGTGTGTTTTATTGTTTTATCTATTTTAACACCCATACATATTTATACATTCCTTTGCTAGGTCGATTGTAGCAGAGTTTTGTACATTGATCATACCTCTAATGGACCTGAATAGCTTTTCCCCCGACTGTGGAAGGTGCCTGTGCATTTTTTTGTTTGTAAGTGAAAGTGTTGTAGTTAAAGGCTGTATTTATTGATGGTCACTGGAATAAACAGCTCTCGGATGACACGGAAAAAATCAACCACCATTGGATAAACTAGCATGTGTGGAAATGCCAAAGCATTCAGGCACGTCAAAGCAGAGCCGTGGAAATTGTAGTCCATTTACACTGTCACGAAACAGTGGCATTGGATGCGGTACTTGCATGCCAGCCAGCTGTCCAAGGCAATTGTTGGCCTTTAGCTCGACGGGTAGTTGCAAATAATGTAGTCGCCATTGGGGTAGCAGTGCGTACCAGGAGGGCATTCAAAGTCAACGTACTTGGTGTGGTCGCACACCTGGAACCAGTTCAAGAACGTTGGATTACACTTCATCGTACCCGAGACACAGCCTACATCACGGCGGTTAGGCTGGGCCACAGCCAGGGCCGTGAGCGCAGCAACTGCAGCAGTAACAAAACTCACCTTCATGGTGGTTGGGCAAGTGGAGGTAAGGACAGGGAAACTGTCACTAGTGCAGCAGGAAGGAGGAGTACAGAATAGTATATTAAAGGTATTGGCCTGGATGATAGGGGCAGGTGTGATGGCTTTGCTGGTGGTGGCAGGATGGCGTGTTTATATATTCAGCAATGCGTTGACCCACTCACCAGCACATTGCTATCTTATTCACCATTGGTGTGCCAAGGGCTGCACCTGGCAGTAGCAGTTGCAAGGACCGCAGTCAGTGAAGTTGTCAGTCCAAACAATTGCCAACGGTTGCTAGGCTGCGTCATGAGTAATGACCAGTACAGACAAACCGCCCTTCTCTCCTGTGTGTTTGATGTCTGGTCTAAATGGAGAAATAGGCACCATTGTCTGAAATCCTCCGAGAAGGCTCATCCAACGCCATCCTTCCAACTGTCTCGGAAAGTACCTAAAAATAACTGCGCGCATGGGATGGTGACCTTGGGAATGCAAACCGAGGATAGTTTGCAGCAACAAAAGTAACTTACCATAGCTGTAGCGCCAACGCCATGCTGTGCAGCAGCGCTGGTCAGACGTATATACGGATAGAATCATAGCCAATGGCAGATTACTCGGCCCAAAACGGGCTCAGAAGCAATCCTCCCTAGCTTTCCAAACACGGCATGGGTGACGCCGCTGCTGGATAAAGAGACAGTGGTCGATGTTGCTTCATCATTTTCCAGCAGCGATTCGGACGCAGCGTCCAAATTAGTCCATGGCTTCACCCCTGAGGCTATGGCAGAAGCCACCCTAGTGCCAGCAGTCCTTTCACAGCAGCCCTGTTGGACTATTGCGTGGACGCAACGGTTGAGAATTTCGGTGCGCTCTTTTAGAGGTTTCTTCATTGTCCTTAAAAGATGGTCACAGGCTGGTCAGTGTTCTAAAATTAGATGGATAAAGGTGCTGCAAGTGGGTGGTCATACGCCTGGACCTGGGTCTTCTCGAGTCGGATTACAACCTTGACTTTGTTCACTTCGCATGCCCTGCTCACTATCACTACATGACAAAAGCCGTGCATGTCATGTGATTAGCCTGAGCTGCTTCGCCCCCGCGGTGTGGGTATAGATTTCAATGAATGCAC